CCCTCCTCCAGGTGTGTCGTCTTTCAAATATCATTCCGTTATCTACTTACACTGCCTCTAGGAAATGATCTATAATCTCAAATCAAGAAAAGCATGTTGTCCAGATTATAAACCTCCAAGTATCTTAAGAGAGAACGTGTTTTTGTCCCCTTGCTATTCAATGTCGTTAGTCTTTTTTGTGAAGCTAACACATTTTCCTGCTTGGGGAAACTCCTTGGGTCAGACAGTTCTTAACCAAGATGAGCGCTATTCTGCTTTGACCCCTTGGAGAGAGTTGTTCAGTTCATCCAGTATATATTTACTTCACTCTCTTGTAGAGCCAGTCATTTCATCCAATATATATATATTTCATTTCCTTAAAGAGCCTCTCAGGTCATCCAGTAAATTTACTTCACTCACATTTTCTCCAGAGCCTTGTGTCCAACTCGTCCTTTTGACCACCTGTATGGTTGTTTATTACAAAATAAGAGTCACTGTTGAAAATATTTTTTATCTGACCCATTTTCTAGGCCTGTCTTTGTGAAATTCAGTTGTGACCTTCCTACCATCCATCTTCTCTGCTCTTATCCACTCACTGCTCCTTTTAATGCCTTTTCTTCTTTTTCTCTCTCCTTTTAATTGCATATTTCCTTGATCATTGCACTACTTCCATTCTAGCTCTTGTGTGTCCTATAACCTGAGCATAGAACTGTTGAGCATGTAGTATCTGCTTTTCCCTCCTTGGTAGATGCCTGGTGTTCCTGTCTGGAATGGCTCTGAGCTGAATTATAGGATTCTCCACCAACTTCTTTCCTTTCTTTTACAAATAATTGTATGTAGAGCATTTCCCAACACTAACCCACAGAGTTTTCTTTTTCTTGGGTCTAATTGTGTTTATCTAAAACATAACAACAATGATGAACATTGTCGTCATTTACCTTCAATTGACAGTATTATCTCCCTGTGCAGCATCCTGAAGCGCTGGTACCGCAGCTGGCGTAAGGACATTCGCCGGCGAGACGAACAGCGTGTGCTTGATGAGGCACGGGCAAGGCGTGAGGCCCAGGGAAATGACCTCCCAGAGAGCCTCATGTGTGTTGTCTGCTGTGGACTCCGCGATGTCCTGCTGGTGCCCTGCCGCCATGTGTGTGTCTGTAGTGAATGTGCACTGAAGCTCAACCCCAGAGTGTGCCCTGTCTGCCGGACAGAGATTGAACGGATCCAGCCTGTCTTCTACTCATGATTGAGTCTTCCGTCAGTCAGTCCTGGGCCCAAATGCGTGCTATCAATTCTGTGATACGTGCTCAAGATTTTCTCGCGCTCCTTTTTTCATTAATGTACATAAGAACTGTTGTAATCATGGATGTTGTACAGTTGTATATATTATAAACCCAAAAGTGAAATAGAATGAAGTATATTTAGAAAGCTTGTGTCAGTGAGCATGACAATAGTCTGTATTTTAGTCAAAACTTATACACATATACATATATATTTGCAGCTGTCATTAACTTCCATGGCTGAGAGAATCTGAATGTGCCTTTGTTTTCTCTAGTCACATGATAACTTTGTTCACATATGCACATTATATTTTCTGTTGTTATTATACATTGGTCATAGTTTATGTTCTTAGTACTAAATACATAGGTGTTCAGTAATTAGTTGTTTGAGAAAAAAAATTATAAATTGTAGGTGTTATAAAATGTTACTTTTATTTGACTTCTGGTAATCTTAGTAGACTACATAGAGGTGAGATAGATTTGAGGATGATCAAATATGTAATGAGAATAGTAAAAATAATTTTCTTTTGTTTCCTAGAGTATGCACAATTCATTACTATACACTGATTATGTTTCCTAATTAATGGACAGTATATAATTGTTAAACTGAGATGCTCAAGTCATTAGAAATTTATACTCTTGAAAGGTATTGCCAGATGTCCAGTAGGAAATTTAGGGTGATGATGCATGGGAATGGGGAATGCACAAGAAATAGACATGTAGAAGTGTGACATGCATCTGACAGAAGCAATGACCTTGCATGAGCAGATCTGGGACCCTATTTTGTGGTAGTGAATAGTATCAAGAGGTATTTAGCAGCTCTGTTGCAGCAATTGACAATTCAGTTTCAGATACTGGTAAACTGAATTGGTCTACAAGGCCGCATGGAAGACAGTATATGTATATTTATGTATGCCTCACTATCATTCTTAGGAACAGGCATGATTAAGCGCTACTACCCTTGCCCACTGGCTGTGTGACAAGGTCTTGAGATGGTTGCGACATCATCAACCATCTGTGCAAATGATTAATTTCAGTTGTGCCGGTTTCAAATTGTAAATAACACTGACGGCAAAGCTGAGGATGTTATGGAACTGCATGAAGATGATTACACCTGATTTGTGGTGATCAATTATGTGAATTTGATGTTGAATGCCAGTAAATAAACTTTAATAATTCTTTATACAAGGTTTTATCTTGAAGTGAGTGCATTTTCATTTATAGGGGAAGAAACAAAGGCATTGAAAGAATGACTTTAGAGTTGTTATATTTTTACATAAATAAGCTGCAGGGGAATAAGTATACTGTATTATACCTTTGTTATGTTTTTTAACAATGGATATGTCACATTTTTATGCTATTTTCAGAGAAAATATATTATTTATGTTCTGATATGCTTTAGTCAGGCATTCTCATTTATTATACAATATGTCAGAATTGTAGATCCATTAAAAGTCTCTGTATAAGAATAGTACTTATTAAACTATTTATTGAATGATTCGTCTCAGTGAAGAAAGTATATAACCAAACCTACATTGATAAATGTAAAAGTAAATCATTTGTACATAATACAGTGACACAGCCACAAATGTAATTTTGGAATCTATACACAGTAAGAGATTCTTAATGAATGATGTTTGTAGTGATCAGTGTTATGTTGATAATTAAAATTTCATAGCCGAATTTAATATCTACCAAGATATTTTTTCTTATTTTTGTGGTGCGTGTGTGCGTGCGTGTGCGTGCGAGTGCGTGTGCGTGCGTGCGTGCGTACGTGTGTGGTGTGTGTGTGTGTGTGTGTGTGTGTGTGTGTGTGTGTATGTGTAGGTGTGGTGGGTGTGGGGGGGGGGGGTGATAATAATAATGAACAATTCTAAAGGCATAGAGAGTACTGCTGAAAACTTTGTTAGGATTTCTGTTCAATGTTTAAAGAGCTGTTGTGAAGGACCTTTAATAATTAAGATGTGAAAAGAAGCAAAGAATTAGAAATTCCAATAGGTTGCATAAGGGTGTGCAGGTTCCAAGGGGGTCTTGGGTCATTACTTTATCAAATGTTTTGTCAATTTAAACGTACATCTATAACATAAGCATGAATATATTTATCTTAATGCTTGCTACTGAATGATTTTAAGTTAAGAGGTTGATATTTATGTTATAGATGAAAGTGTATCTAAATCAACAAAATGTTTAATAAACACAGTTGGTCTGAGAATACCTTAGGACAGTCATTACCTTACTGGTTAGTAGAAAAAAAATGTGCTTGGACCTGAATGCAATTAATGATATTAATGAAATTAATCTGATTTTATATTATTTTGTTGCAAAATAACTTAATGTAAAAATTACAACAACTGTAATTAGACAAATTTCTTTTAATTATTAATTGTATTATGCATATTGTATATTGCTATATTTCGATAAAAAATCAGCCGGTAATAATGACAAAAAATCATAAATTGAGCAGCTGTTACGAGGTCAGTATATGCTAATAACTTGTGAAACCATTATTCAATAGTAATTGGTAATGGAATGATAATAATGATTATGATTATAGTAGTAATGATGATAATAGCAGTAATAATGATGATAATGATGATAATGATAATAATGATGATAATAATAATAATAATAATAATAATAATAATAATAATAATAATAATAATATGGTAATGGTAATGATGATAATGATAATAATAATAATATGATAATGATAATGATAATGAAGTCATAAAAGTGATGATGATGGTATGATGATAATGAAAAATGATAATAATGATACTCATAATGATAACAAATAGTCACTATAGTAATTATAATGATAGTGTGATAACATTAAATATGTAATCAAATGCTATTATTACATCATTAAACTATGGTTTTCTTTCCCATAAACTACTTTTTACATGGACAATATACAATAGGAGACAAAGCTCTTATAGAACAAGTTTGAGACACTTCTCAAACTGCCAAATAATTGGATCTTGTTGGTTTAAGGAGTCTGAGAGCTTCAATTATGGTACACAATATATGTCCCAGACTGTATATTTAAAGGATAAACTAAAGAGGTTCTGCTTGCATAGTACAGGGGAAGGATTAACATGTTAATAAGAGGAAAGATTAGAAGATGGTGGGATAGTAAAATGATAAGGGATTCGTAAGATTGTGAGGAGAAATTAAATAGTTTGAAATGAGTGAAGATATTTAGGTCGAGGCGAATTGGCAAGATGATAAGATGACAGAGACGAAAAGGTAAGTTAAAGGTAGTAAAATTTATTATCAGCATTATTGCTTACATTATCATTATCATCATCAATATTTCCTAATCATTTTTATCATAATGCTGCTCATAATCATAATCATCATTATTATCATCATTAGCACCATCACCACTCTTTATCCTCATCATTTTAATCAGCATAATTATTTTCATTATCAACACAATCACTGGGACACCAGATTCTAGGAGAGTTGTTATATATATATATATATATATATATATATATATATATATATATATATATATATATATATATATATATATATATATATATATATATATATATAATATATATATATATATATATTACGTACCCAGTCTGACTACTGAACCACCTCTTAGGATTGTCATTATCATCACCATTACTACTGCAATAGCTATTTCTAACACTATACATTGTTATTTTCATAAAAATATATAACAGAGTCCATCATACTACTTAGTACTATAGCACCATTATGATTATTATGATTTTATACATAGTTCTAACACAAGGAGATTGACTGATTATTGAAAATTATCTGCTGCATCAACAGCTAAGAGAGAAAAAAGAAAAAACACAGGGAATATGCATGATGTATATGTTATTGTAACAAAATTTATGAATCTGTTACCAAAGCGCTAAATTGTATACATTCTTTAATGAAAGGTCTCATTAATACTTTTTTTAGTGAGTGTTTAATGTTGGTTTTCCTGTGATCATATTTTACTGTCACGTGACAGAGATGCAATGGTTTTGAATTGTTTATCCTATATTTTGGAGGAAAATTTACAACAAAATCAGGGGAACTGTAACATGTATATATTTTTTTCTCATCTGGAAAATCAAACAATTCTGGCAATAACCATTTTATTACTCTGTATCATCAAGGTCCTCCATATATGTGTGTGTGTGTGTGTGTGTGTGTGTGTGTGTGTGTGTGTGTGTGTGTGTGTGTGTGTGTGTGTGTGTGTGTGTGTGTGTGTGTGTGTGTGGTGTGTGGTGAGAGAGAGTTTATGAAACACTACCAATATAGAAAAAGGGTAAAGATGTCACATTTCCTGTTGGTTATAACTTTTCGTATTACATTTCTATTGTGGCAGTGTTTCAATTTGTCTACACGTTATAGTGCATTTTTGCATGTTTGCTCTAAAATGTATATGAAAGTGTATATGTATCCATTCATCCAAGACAACTTTTTGTTGACATGCCATACTAAACACGGCAATGACATTTAACGATCCTGTATCATTGTATTAACTTGGTATATCTAAAACCTATATTTTATAAGTAGTTAAGACAAGACAGCATTTTCACAACCAAAAATATTGATATACATAATTTTAAGAGGTAAATGATAGGATGCAGTACATGTAATCAGATATCAAATTTCAAAATTAATTACAAAAAAATCTTAAAGCATATAATATGAAGTTCAAAAGAATTAAATCCGCACAGTTTTCTAATTCTACAGCAGAATATGACAATTTTTTATGGTAACATAATTACGATTATGATAGTGATGTTGAAGGTTGTGTTAGAGAGAGATTTCGATAAAAAGGAAAACAAAATAAGGGTAATATTTATTTTTTCAGTTGCATACTTCATGGGAGTATAGAGAAGAAATGTTGAGTGAAGTAAAGATATTTATAAGAATGGACATAATAATAAGTTAAGGATGAAAATATAGTGACAGTAATAATGAAGGATAAATGATGATAAAATATTTCTGTAGACAAACTGTAAGTATAACAATTTGAGTGATAGTAGTAATAGAAACATGGTAATAACGATAAAGAAATGACAGTGATAATAGTAACGATAATACAGATATTAAGAATAATAATGATTATAATGATGACAAAAATCAATATTAAGAATGATAATGATAATAAAGATGATGATAATAATAATGATAACAATAATGATTATAATGATGATTATAATTATGAATATATCAATATTAAGAATAATAATGGTAATAAAGATGATGATAATGAAAATGATAATGATCATTGCAATAATAATAATAACAACAACAATGAAGAAAATGATGATGATGATAAGAACAATGATAATAATAATAATGATAATAAAAACAGTAATCATGATAATGATGATAACGAAGAATATGATAGCTAATGATAATAAAAGATAATAATGATAATAACATTACTGACAATAATGATAATGATAACAGTAATAGTTGTAATAATAATAACTATATAATAATGATAATAACATAATCTTAATAATAATAATGATAACATAATAATAATGATAATGATAATAATAATAAAAATAATTATGATAATAATGAAAATGATAACAATCATATCAATAATAATAGCAATGATAATAACGACAATAAAAATGATGATAATGATAACGTTAATGATGATGAAAATAATAATAACGATAATAATGATAGTACTGATAATGCTAATAGAAAGATAACGATAATGATCATGATGATAAAGATGATAATAACAATTATGATGGTTAATAATGATAGCAATGATTATAATAGAAAAATAATAATAATGATAACAATAATAATATTAATGGTAATGAATATGATAATAATAATGATACTACTATTACTATTACTACTAATAATGATATCAATAATTATAATAATAATATAATAATGATAATAATTATAATAATAGTAGTAGTAATAATAATGATAACAATGATAATGATAATGATAATAATAGTAATAATAATAATAGTAATGATAATAATAATGATAATTATAATAATAATGATAGAAAAAGACAATAACAATAGTGATAATAATGATAACAATAATAATAATAACAATAATAATAATGATAACAATAAAAATTATAACAATGATTATGATCATAGTGATGATGATGATAATGACAATAATGATACTAGAAATGATGATGATAATAATAATGATAATAATAATAATGATGATAATAATAATAATAATAATAATAATAATAATATAATAAAATAATAATAATAATAATAATAATAATAATAATGAAATAATATTAATGATAATGATAATGATGATAAAATAATAATAACAATAACAATAATAATATAATAATAATAATAATAATAATAATAATAATAATAATAATAATAATAATAATAATAATAATAATAATAATTAATAACAATAATAATAATAATAATTATGATGAAAATAATGATAATAAAAAATAATGATGATAATAATGATAACAATGATAACAAT